GACGGTGTAATTTCTTGCAATTTATGTATAATAATTAAAGGATCGGAAATCATTTTTTAAATTTATTAATCAAACAAACAATTTATTAATATTTGTTGATTGGAAATATAACAAGATTATCGAGACAGTATTTTCAAGATACTAAATTTTTTATCAGAACGTTTTGACGGAAGCTTGAATTTATGTAGGTATATTTAAAGCTATTATATTTAGGTGTTGTTAATAGATGTGCAATTTTAGATTACTCTTAAAAAAATTTAGACAAGAACATAGAATTTGTGGTAGGTAAAGTTCATAAATTTTGCTCGAACTTTTTAAAACGAGGATTTATATTACTATTTCGCGACCAACAGCCTAAATTAAACTTGCGAAAGATTCTCCGCGCGTAAAGCAGTGGACCTTCCAAAAAAAAAAGCGAACAATCGGTATACATCGCATACGAACACGTTTCTTGCTTCTGTTCAGCTTAACTGTATAGACTTTGACATTTTGTTACGCCCCTTTCCAACACAATAAGAGAGACAGTAGGGATGTTTCACAGAATTACGCACGAATAGGAAGCAGGTTAGGGTCGCACACAATCACATTGTATCAGCTTTACCAATGTATTAATGCAGTGCCGAAATTCCTTTTCGTCTATAATACTTGTAATTTTATTTTCATAAATGTGCATTTGGAATGATCATTCTTTGGAGACTAATTCAAGTGTAACGGTCGAAATCTGTTACCTAAAATAATATTTATTAAATTTTCTGAGAAATTTACAAGTATGAGGCATAAATTAGAAAGTTATAATTTAATTGTTGTTGACTATATGGTGCATTGGTGTTTCATTGCACATCTTATTATTTTATATTTTTTACATACATTTAACACTTTATTCTATTTCGTAAATCTCAAGTTCTAGTTATCAAGCACGTGGACGTTATATAGATTGTAGAATACGGAAGAGTAGCGAGGGTGGCAGCTTTCTCGGCTCTGATGACGTTTATCGAATTTTTCGCAGGGCCACTTAGATAATTCGCAGCAGGCAGGGGGCTTACGTAAGAATCGATCATTCTCTGGCGTCACGAGAAATTTAATGGCTCGTGGCTTGCTGCGCGCGCGCGAGCGAGCGAGCGAGCGAGAGAGAGCGAGAGAGAGAGAGAGAGAGAGAGAGAAGATCGAAGTTCTTCCCTTGTTACTATTGACAGATGTACGACATAGCTGGATTCATCTCGGTGCTGGATCTATCACAAAATAACAGAAGTGTATAAAGCGGTGGCGCCGCTTCGCGAGCATTTAGAGTAAAGGAGGGCGGTGGATTGCTACGGAGAGAAAGAGTAAGAAAGCGAGCGAGCGAGCGAGCGAGAGAGAGCGAGAGAGAGAGAGAGAGAGAGAGAGAAGATCGAAGTTCTTCCCTTGTTACTATTGACAGATGTACGACATAGCTGGATTCATCTCGGTGCTGGATCTATCACAAAATAACGAGCTTAAAATGCCCTTTGCCCTGTACCTCCTTACAATATTCTGGAAATGCGAATTCCATGAGCAAAAGAACAAAAAAGGATATAAAAAAGAATCAATGATTGTGCAGTTTCTTTGTTTGATTACAAAAGGCAATTCATTGCGGCGTATGAATATCTGCAATATCTGCTGAAGGATCGATTTTTGTCAGCCGAATATTTATGTTGCATAAAATAAGCAAGTTGTCTTTATAAAAGAATTTAAAAGCTTTGTCTAAAAAGCTTTGTTTGAATGAAGTCTAGACAACTTTCTCTTTTACATTCCATATCTTTTGTTATTACGAACAATTTTTGTGTTCACTATAACTAATAAATTTAAAATTCTTTCTTCGAAAAACTTTTTAAAGTATATACATATAATCTATAATTTTAACATTGAAATCAATACAATAACTTTTCTTGTATCGTTATTTATTACAGTTGGCCATCTGTGAATGGTCATACATTAATTCGATCTCCTTCAGTTGCTTACTATAGTTTATTATGTGACTAAACAAAGAATATTTTAACAATGCGGAGATGAAGAATTAAATGTTTGAAAACAAAATTTTCCATAGAAAAAAATTTCTTACAATCATCTCTTACGATAAATTTTTCTTCCAAATGTTTAAATAACTTTAGCTCAATTTGACACAAAATCTCATCCATTTCATATATGACCTGTACTTACTGCATCTATGAATCTTACAATTAATTATTATACTCGTATTTAAAGAATTGACATTGAATTGTGTAAAAATAAATAAGTTAAATCCTAACGAAAAGACAACTTGCCTTTGCGAGTTTCTATACTATATACACATAAGTAATAAGTATATATGTATATACAGGGAAAGACAACATAAAACATAAAACATTCGGGAATCCAGGATTCATTATCCATTTGGTCGATGGCGTCCAACTCGGCGCCGCATCGCCACGTCGATCGATGGCTGCCGAAGCCGAACGCGGATGTGTCAATTTGCGATATTATGCGGAACGCGGCGTGTAAACGCGCGCCGAGGACGACGACGGTAGAGTAGACGCGCGAGGACGAGGACGAGGACGAGCACGAAGCTGTGGCGAAGGGAGGAAAGTGCGGGATGAGAGAGTCATAAAATCGAGCGAAGTGAACGCCAGGAGGGAGACACTGAGTGATGTCGGTGACAGGTCGCCCGCCCTCCTCCACGTCCTCCTGCAACCGCCTCCTGTCGCTATTACTCACCGAACGCCGAATACCATTCAAAGTTCGAAACCGCACGTTCGCGACCCAATTCCTACGTAGAGTCAGCTGTTTGGTTCATTCAAAGCTCGATCGCTAGCGCCGCTGGCTTCCTGGCGCGAAATATCGGCTAAATTGTAATAAAAAAAATAAAAGCTGATCACGTAGTCGTCCGCCATAATTGATAATTTCGTTTACGGTTACTGGATATGGACTTGTATTGGACGAATGCGTTATCACACACACACACACGCACACAGTTTTATTAAAACATTCCTTCAATATCTCTATTTTAGCAAATTCATTGTTACAAATAGTAAATAATTTCGATATAGTTATTGTTACACATATATCATGTGTATCTCTCGTAAGAATAGATAATTCTAAAGAACAGATACTAGTAATACAAGAGTTGCAAGTATTTGTAGTGTGATATATGAGCCAATATGTGTGCATCACATGTGCACCACGTGCGTTTGGCTATTCATTGCAGATTTTCAAAATTTTCAATGTATAACTAAAGTCTTTTGTCCGACGTAAAAGTAAACATCGTGGTGATTTCTATTTTTGATTTATCATTGTACGAATCATTGTATGAATAAATGACTTTAACGTTGTTTTTTTTTTGTAATATTATATCTAAAACACAAGAAAAGAAACACACTATATATGTATAAATATTTATCATTTGTACCAATTTATCATTTGTGCACTTTCCTCTTTTTTAGATTCGCTGAAGAATTTTTTTTTTGTTATTGTTTATAAGTGCTGTCCGATGTCAAATGATGACTGAATAAATTTACCTTAGATAAGATTATGAAAAGATTACAGGCCATTAGCGACACTATAGTCGATGGTCAATCCTGGTAAATAAAATATTTATTGTACAGATACGTGCACGAAGGACTGTAATTTAGAAAAGAATAGTGAATTGTTGAGTTAGGATCAGCTCTAATTCCGCAAACTAGGATCAATAGGAATTTGTTCAGGTGGCTGCGTTTGTAAAGTAGTTTGTAGAGAAACGGTGCGGTGGATTCTCTCCAAGAACCTCTCGCCATGCTGACTGTCAGTATTATCCTGCGTTCGCGCGCGCGCGCGCGCGCGTGACCATTCCGTTCGATCTGCTGAGCGCCAGTATAGCACGATAGGAGCAGTTCTGAAAGTGCAATGTCAAATTTTTTACGCTGTTTGTCCCACGTCGATCACCGACGGCACGTTCACACCAAGTGCTTCAGTCAGTCGTATTAATACTCGAAACTACTCGAAATTACTCACGTTTTCATATTCTCTTTCCATTCCCTTTTATGTATCGTATACTTTTTATAACAAAACATGGGAACATGGTTTATCAATATGTTTGGATTAGAATATCAAACATTGTCAGGTTGCAGGTATATTATTGATTACGTGTGTCTCTTTAGAATCAACAACTGGTTGTTTTTAACAATAAGACTGGAAATCAAACACAGACCATGATGGTATTTTTGTTTCAATCGTTAGAGAAGAGTCTCTCGGAGCAAGGAGAGGCAAATACGAGGGAAACGCCTCGGTTGTGCGATCCTGGAATTTGGAGCGATGCGATGCGATGGAGTCGGTCGACGTATCTCGCAGTATTTCGCGAATGACGTTGTCTCGTATGGTCGTAGCCATGGGTTCTTGATCGCGATCGTCGTCGCTGACGTCGTCGTCGTCGTCGTCGGCGTCGGCGTCGGCGTAGTCGTGGTCGTCGTCGTCGTCGTCGTCGTCGTCATCGGCCGTCGGCAGTCTCGTTGGTAGTGGTGGTGTAGCGATGGCGGAGGATCCGATGGTTCCGAGTCTGGCCGCGAGGGCGCTGAGACCGCGCTTGCTCTCGGCCGGGTCCGGGATCCCGATAGGCGGGCACAGTGGACGCATTGGCCGGTCTCGGTGGGCGTGTCTCCGCGTCTCCCACTCCGTCGCGTAGCACGGCGCTGATTGACAGTTGGCGAACGACTGCGGACGGCGCAGGATCTAAAACCGCGCTAGGCGCTGCTCTCCACGCTCGCTCGCTCCGCTCTTCTCTCTACCCGTGCGATCTACACCCGGTTGCTTTTTCGTGGGGGAAACCTGAAACACGCATATCCCCGTGGCTGGGTTTGACCGGCGGCCCGCGACGGCGACCACGACACCG